AGGCATTGTGGGTGCTGGAGACATGAGGACTAAGAAGAGTAGCACGAATCTTAGAAGGTCTTATTAATAAAAACAAACCTGGAGCCAGGTATTGGGGTGAATGCTGGAAGATCAGAGAAGCAGAACAAGCCACAGCCACCTCACCTTGCCAATTCCTTAGCTGATCCTGTTTCCTCAGACTGGAAGCCTCTGAATCCTTACCCAGAATGAATCTCAGCTGAACTGCTGCTAGAAGCCTAAAAGCTTAACCAGCTCTAGTTCCTGGTTTTCACGCCTTATATACCTTTCTGCTTCCTGCCTTCACTTCCTGGGATTAAAGGCATGAGTCACCATGCCTGGCTGTTTCCAGTGTGGCTTTGAACTCACAGAGATCCGGATCTCTGCCTCTAAAAGGCTAGGATTAAAGGTGTGAGTGCCACCATTTTCTGGCCTCTGTCTGTCTAGTGACTATTCTGTTCTCTGACCCCAGATAAGTTTATTAGTGTTCACAATATATTGGGGAACACAATATCATCACAAAGAAGACACCCCTATCCACTAGGAGTGATGGTGCATACCTTTGGTCCCTCGCTGGGGGGTGGGGTAGAGGCAGGCAGGCAGGCAGGCAGGCAGAGTTCTGTAAAGTTCTCCAGGCTAGCTTGGTCTACACAGAGAGCTCTAGCACAGGCGGGACTGCACAGAGAGACCCAGTCTCAACAACAAGAAGACAGGAGGAGGAGTCACCATCCTCATCACAACATAAACAGGTGGAATTCTCTTTGCTTTATATTTGAGGAATCTGAGGCTCCTTAGGTTTCTCACCTAGACTAAGATGAGATGGTTATAGCTGGAGAAAGATAACATACAAATCCAGGTCTCCCTCCAAGTCTCACCTTTGTTAACTGTACTATCCCACAGCCTTTAGCACATAATCAATAGTTCCTAAGAAAAAATATGTACACATACATATAAGTTCACTTTTAATTTCTCCATTTCCTCTATATCAATTTTTCTTTTTTTTTCCTGTGTGTGTGTGTGTGTGTGTGTGTGTGTGTGTGTGTGTGTATTATATCTATGCAAGTATGTGCATGTGTGGAGACCAGAAGAAGACACTGGTGTCCTGTATCACACCCTGCCTTAATCTCTTTAGACAACTCAGGGTCTCATTGAACCTGGAACTACGCTGGCAGGCAGCAAGGCCCAGGGATCCTCCCGTCTCTGCCCCCAAGTTGTACACATACATGCAGCAGTGACCTGCTTTTCACATGGGCCCTGAAATGCAAACCCAGGCCCCCTGCTTTTCTCTGCCTCCCAGTTGTACATGTACATGCAGCAGTGGCCTGCTGTTCATATGGGCCCTGGGGTGCAAACCCAGGGCCTCTCGCTTGTTCAGCAAGAACTCTTACCCATGCAGTCACCTCTCTAGCATCTCAATCTAGAATTATAAATGTTTTGGTTTCAGAGTGGTACCATACAAAGAATTAAAAAAAAAAAAACCATAAAATATGTAAAACCTCCTCCACAATTAAATTAGAGTCATTTTTCCGAGTAATGTTATCAAAGGGTACAAAATATCAAGTAATAATTTAGTACAGCCAGGAGGTGGTGGCGCACACCTTTAATCCCAGCGCTTGGGAGGCAGAAGCAAGAGGATCTCTGAGTTGGAGCCCAGCCTGGTCTACAGAGTCCCAGCACAGCCAGGGCTACACAGAGAAACCCTGTCTTGAAACCTCTTTCCTCAAAATAATAATTTAGTAGACAAAAATAATTTATTTTAAAGGGAATGTGTTAGAAAAACTGATACTCCTTCCAAAGCTCACTGGTCTGCCAAAAGTCAGAATCCTATACCTAAGCAGTTGGTTTCCGGGACATGGTTCTAATTACAGACAGAAGATCCTGCTGGTGCTGTGTACAATTCTCCAGGAGACATGAACAATGGGATTAAAGGGTCCAGCGAATTGACAGCTGCATCAATTACCCATTTAAACAAACAGAACAAACCAAAGGAAAAGATTTTCAAACAAAACCGATCAGGAAACTTCAAAAAATGATAAAACTTCAAAGAGAATTTTTTCACATCACATTTCATTCTTTCAGTACAAAAAAAAAAAAAGATAAATGACAAGGCGATTCTTAATTATCCACTTGACTGGGCAGATACTGCACACCTCTGGATGTGTCTCAGCTTTTCCAGGGACAACTGGATCTTGAGGGCACTAACCTAATCCATTTTAATCCAGGGATAGATTCAAATATTTGAACAGAACTGTGAAGGGTGAGGTCTCACGGATGAAGTAGGATGCTAGGGGGTGTGCCGTGGGGTCTTGTGTTGGCCCTGGCTCTTCCTATTGGCCCTCTTTGCTTCTTGTTTTCCATGTGTGTTTCTTTTCCCCCCGCTTACCGATGTCACCTTTTGGGAGGGCAAAGCCAATGCCTGCCTCATCTTTCTATTCACTAACGTTCCGACTTCATGTAAGGGCTAAAGCCCCACCTGCCCAAAACCAGAAAACTTCCTGGAATGCTGGGGGCTGTTGTTCTTGAAAGACAACAAGTCACATGTTTTCACTTCAATAAACAAGGTTGGTTGCCCCAACTGCACAGGATGTGCTTGATCAGACACAGGCTGGAGATACGTAGGTAGGAAGCATGTCAGGATGTATGCTTGCCCCCATTGGACAAAGGCGGAAAGTACAGTAGCCTTGTGGGTTTGACCTTTATAGGCACCTGACTGGCCTAATTCACCACCATTTCTCTGAGAATCCTGGATATGGGATCTGGCTACTGTTCACCTTCCTGGTCAGTAGTTAATAAAGTTTGCTTCAGTTGGTCCATCGTGGATTAGGTCTTTCTTCTCGAAATTCTCAGGTTCAACACTCACCAGACTACTTTCCATCAAACAAGCTTTAAATATACAAGAACTTGAACACATGAAATATGAAATCCAGCTTTCAACAGCCATTACTTGTACAGTTACAGACAGAACTGTTTCTTCCTCTAAACTTCTTTTAAACAGAAAAATGATTTGTTAACTAAAGAACCAGGAATTCTCTCCTTCCTTCCTTCCTTCCTTCATTTCTTCCTTCCTTCCTCCCTCCCACCCTCTCAATCTCTCTCTCTGTAGGGATAAAAATTGTAAAATTCGCCGGGCGGTGGTGGCACACGCCTTTAATCCCAGCACTCGGGAGGCAGAGCCAGGCGGATCTCTGTAAGTTCGAGGCCAGCCTGGGCTACCAAGTGAGTTCCAGGAAAAGGCGCAAAGCTACACAGAAAAACCCTGTCTCGGAAAAAAAAAAAAAAAAAAATGTAAAAATCGGGGTTGGGGATTTAGCTCAGTGGTAGAGCGCTTACCTAGCAAGCACAAGGCCCTGGATTTTGTTCTCAGCTCCAGAAAAAAAAAAAATTGTAAAAATCATGCTTGCTTGTCATGGTGGCATACTCCTTTAATCACAACACTCTCTCAGATGCAGAGTCACATGGATCTCTGTGAATTCCAGGACCAATCAGAGCTACAAGGTGAGACCCTGTCTCAAAATAAATGTATTTTTTAAATTGTAAAACCAGCAGTATAGTGCAGTGCTACCCTAAACAAGTCTTAAAAAAAAAAAAAAAACTAACCTGTAAATTTATCTCCTAATGATTTTTTCCTATTATTTTCTTTCTTTTAGGGGGTGGAAGGGTATTAAGAATCTAATTAAACAAAAATAAGCTTCCTGGTGGAGCTTTTTATCTGAATCATTTTTTCTTACGGTATTATTTTGATCATATTCTTTCCCCTCCCCCCAAGCCTCCCTGATCCTCCCCCACCTTCCTACTTATCAACTTCATATTCTTTTTTTCTTTAAAAAAAAAAAAAAAAAAAAGGTGGATACTTTTCTTAGAACGTACCTTTCACTCCTAAAGCAGCACCACAAAACCGTAATACATTAGTAGGTAAAATCTATACTACAATCCCGGCTTCTGAGATTAATTTTGCCATGTATAAATCTCAATTTCCAGTTATCAATAAACAGATCTCTGGCACAGCCTCATGTTTCCCTGCTGATTTTCTGTGATCACCATGACGATGGATTAAACATCGCCTGTAAATATTAGTTAACTACTTTGTTCCAAGCTGAGAGAGGAGGGGCTAGGGGTCGCCAGGGTGTGTTGTGAAAACTCAAAAACTCTAACAAAGATGGAGTATTGCTTTCACTTCTATGTTTCACTTACTATTTTGGGGCTTGCTTTATTTATTTGTTTGTTTAGCGGTGGTTTTGTCAAGTATCGTGTAACTGCTGTTGGATCACTAGATGCTAACCAGGGATCCGATTTTAAGTCATTCCGCTGGGTTAGAAACAGCTCGAAAGGTCTTGCGGTTCAACGCGGATCATCGATTTTGAGGGTCCCCGGAGGCCTCTCGCGGGTCACTGCAACCTCGGTCCCCGGCACCCGCGGGGAACCGGGCCAATCTGGGCGGCCCCGAGGGGTCCCGGTTGGGTTCTCTTGGCGCCCTGATGAAAGCGGTTATCTGGGTATCTCTAGCGGGAGCCGGGCGGGCGAGCACGGCCCAGCGTGACCTCGAGGCCAGGCTCTGCCGCCTGGCGGAGGAGGCAAGATGGAGGCGGCCAGCGCCTGGGGCCGCGCTGGGCGGGGTGACGGCGCGACCGACCGCAGGTGGATCCCGCCAGGCTCGAGCGCCAGCTCGCCTCCACCGGCAGGCCGCCCTCCCGGGTCCCCACAGCCCGGACCGCGGCCGGCGCCCCCGGAGGGCGTGGAGGGGCCGGGAACAAGGACGCCATTATGAACCTCCCCTGCGGGGGCCACGGCCGCGGCCCGCGCGGACCTCGGCGGGGAAAGGGAGGGAGGAGGCCGGCGGGCGGGCGGGCGGGGCGGCCGAGGGCGGAGGCGGCGGGGCGGAGCCGACGGCGGGGACGCGGGCTGGCGCCGCTCCACGACCCACCGTCTGCCCGCCGCGGGGCTCAAGATGGAGGCCTCGCTGCGCTGCCCCCCAGTCGCGGCTGCCGCCCCGTCCGCGTCCCTACCTGTGCCTTCCCGGTCCTTCTCCTCCGCCATCTTGGTGCGGAGCCCGTCGCCCGGGAGATGCCCATCCCAAACCCTGCGGGCCGCGCGGCGGGGCTCCCCCTTCCGCCCGCGGCCCGCTCCGCGTTCCCCCCCGGAACCGAGGCCGGAGTGCTTTAGGCCTAGGGGAGTCCTGGATGAATTAAGGTTCCGGAGCCCGCCCTGGCCTGTGTGTGACTGTCCCGAGAGCTAACGCACACGGCGCTCCCCCTCGGAGGTCTGCCTGCCTCGTTTGTTTATTTGCTTTTAAAATTTTGTTGTTGTTGTTGCGCAGAGCTCGGGTGCAGAGCGCGCGGCTCCCCCCGTCCCATTCGCAGCCGAAAGGCCGCGCGCCCGCCCGTCCGCCCGCCCGCCCGCCCGGCAGGTCCTGTGGGTCCCCTGGGTCGCCCTCTAAGCGGAGCCACTGCGCAGCCCGGGGAACTGGAGCGAAAACGGACGTGGGCGGCTGCCGGAGGAAGCCAGGCCTCTCTCCAGGATCGCGGGAGAGGACTCGCTGTAGAAAAACATGTGCAAAATAGGCACAAAACACTGCGTCGTCAAGGCTGCAATTCTGATACAAAATAGTGTTCTCATAGCAACTAATAAATTGCCGGTCTGGTCTCGGTATGACACACGTTGATATGTTGATAGAGCAATTTGGCGTGACCTCCCAATGAGAATTTTGAATCCTAGGTTCCTGAGAAACTTGGCTATAATGTTTTGTTGTTGCATGGGTAAGGCCAACAAACTTGGATATTTTCTTTTTTACAAACACTTTTAAAACGCCTGACAATGTGGCTCAACTGAATATCTAGTTTTAATCCTTAATGATATATCAGGGCATGTGTGTATTCATTTAAAAATTTATTATAAAAGTAACAGCTAAATGTTGAGGCCTTTGCTGGGCGGTGATGGTGCACGCCTTTAGTCCCAGCACTCGGAAGGCAGAGGCAGGCGGATCTCTGTGAGTTCGAGGCCAGCCTGGTCTACAGAGCGAGCTCCATGACAGGCACCAAAACTACACAGAAACCCTGTCTCAAAACAAAACAAATGTTGAGGCCTTTAAAATGCAAGGTATTCATATTTAAATTTTTTTTTTTTTTTTTTTTTTTTTGGTTTTTCGAGACAGGGTTTCTCTGTGTAGCTTTGCGCCTTTCCTGGAACTCGCTTTGGAGACCAGGCTGGCCTCGAACTCACAGAGATCCGCCTGGCTCTGCCTCCCGAGTGCTGGGAATATTTAAATTTTTAATACTGGTTTTTCTTAACTGAATTTCTGCAATCACAGTGAATGAACCTTCAAAGCAGGCCGACTGTATTCTTCATTAAAATGTTTTTTCTATACAAGATAACTATTTGATGCAGTGTCTGGCATTACACCGAAAATAATTACAAACTTGAATAATCACGAAATGGTTATTAGGAAATACTTGTGGGATGAACTAAAGTATGCACAATAAATTTAACACCCCAAAATACAGAAGAGTAATCAGTACTCATATTAATATTTACATTTCATGTGTTCCCCTTTCTCTCCCTGGAGATGAGCAAGTGTGAGGTGGAAGAGAACTGACCATTCCTGATTGCAGAGGATCCTAAATGTCGCCTGCTCCCTAGTCTGTCTCTACCTCTTCCTCAGTGGTCCCATAGATCCAGAGCTTCTTAAAATGGTCTATAGTGCTTCGATTTACTTGTTTCTACCACATACATTTCCAGCTAGTAAAGTTGTGCTACACTGGGACATTCTGTCTGGAAATGTGTGTGTGTGTGTGTGTGTGTGTGTGTGTGTGTGTGTGTGTGTGTGAGAGAGAGAGAGAGAGAGAGAGAGAAGTTTGTGTCTTTGTTTTAGTGTTTTGTAATAGAAAGATTCTAGGTGCCCAGGCTGGTCTTAAATTCCTGGATTCCAGTGATACTCCTGTTTCAGGCTTGATAAATACTTAGAACTCCAGACGTGCACATGCCCACATCTAATTTGAAATAATACAGGTCTTAAAAATGAAGACAAATTATTGTTCTCAATGACTTTTCCACGAGGCTCAAATTCAGTAAAATTACTATAAGACAGGTTTTCCTTTTACATATTTTTATAACAGTAAAAGTATTAGCAGCACATGGTAAACAAAATGGAACTCTTATATAAGCATTTGTACATATACCCAGTTAACATTTTAAAAGTTGAACAGAGGGCTATCGCTCAGCCCTTAAAGGCTAGGCTCACAACCAAAAATTGAGCAGACTTCTCTACAACCCCCCTCCCAATATTTTGTACAGTCTACTAAACTATTCAATAAAGTATTTCATTTCAGTTATTTGAAATCATATCAATCTGTACTTCTTTGAATTCCTCTCAACTATTTAAAATAATACCATCAAATTAGCTGTGGAAGATCACATTTGTAGTCTCAGGAGACAGAAGCAGAGAGATCAAGAGTTCAAGGTCATCCTCATCTAGCAGTGAGTTCAAGGTCAAAATATGCTTGGAAAGTTTATTCAGCAGTAAAAGGCGCATGCTTACCATTCATAAGGCCCTGGGTTCAATCCCCAACACCAGTAAAAAGACACCACAATAAAAAAAATGCTTGAATGAGCTACATGAGACCCTGTCAAAAACCCTTAAATGATTAACTAAAAAACTGTTGAGCTAGGTTTGGCAATTCACACCTATAGTCACAGCACTTGGGAAGCTGAGACAAGACTCCTGCCAGTTTAAGGTCAGCATGAGCTATATACTAAGACCCTATATCAAAAAGCCAAATTTAAAAAAAGTGGCTGGGCAGTGGTGGCACACACCTTTAATCCCAGCACTCGGGAGGCAGAGCCAGGTGGATCTCTGTGAGTTCGAGGCCAGCCTGGGCTACAGAGGGAGTTCCAGGAAAGGCACAAAACTACACAGAGAAACCCTGTCTCGAAAAACAAAAAAAAAAAGTAAGCTAGCCTCCGAGTTAAAGACAAAAGACAGATCTTACCCATATCCACAGTACCTAGCCTCGTTGGAGCATATTTTAGGTACTTAGTATAATTTTTTAACTGGCTAATTAACGATTTGACATAATGTCAAATTATTCTGGAAAACGTCCCACAGTGATGATTTTCCATAAAAATACAGGTTTGTTCCCTGAGGACTAGCTTTCATGGTACCAGAAGGGGCAGTACAAGCTTTCAAAGGAGGGGGGCAACCAACAGTCCTACCCAGCTATGATGTCTATGAACCATAACGGACCAGCATGGCATAGTAACCCTAAGAATAAAGGGTGGCATGTATACCATGGTGGCAATCAACTGCTCTCTAGTTGGACTTAAGTAAGACCCACTGAACAAGAGGGAAATCATGCTTGGTACTGGAATCCTAGCCAACCACCCAGAGCTAGTGAAGTCATGGTCCTGGAGAACTGTGGTGGTTTGAATAGGAATGGCCCCGTAGGCTCATATATTTAGATGCTTAGTCATTAGGGAGCGGTGCTGCTAGACAGGATTAGGAGGTGTGGTGTTTTCCATACGTACTGGCCCTCATAGACTCCTGTGTTTGAATGCTTGGCCCGTAGGGAATGCCACTATTAGGAGGTGTGGCCTTGTTGGAGGAAATGTGTCACTGTGGAGGCGGGCTTTGAAGTCTCATAGATGCTCAAGCCATGCCCAGTGTGACAGTTCACTTTCTGTTGCCTGGGGATCGAGATGTAGAACTCTCAGTTCCCTCTCCAGTACCGTGTCTGCCTGTATGTTGCCTTGCTTCCTGCCGTGGTGATAATGGACTAAACATCTGAAACTGTAAGCAAGCCCCCAGTTAAATGCTTTCTTTTATGAGAGTTGCCTTGGGCATGGTGTCTCTTCCCAGTAATAGAAACCCCTAACTAAGACAGAAGCTGTGAGCCGGGCAGTGGTAGCACACGCCCTTAATCCCAGCACTCGGGAGGCAGAGCCAGGTGGATCTCCGTGAGTTCAAGGCCAGCCTGGTCTACAGAGCGAAATCTAGGACAGGCACCAAAACTACACAGAGAAACCCTGTCTCCAAAAAAAAAAAAAAAAGACAGGCCCTGTGGCCTTTTTGGAGTAGCTGTGGCCTTTTGGAGGAAGTGTGTCACTGGGGGTGGGCTTGAGGGTTTCAAATGCTCCAGCCAGGCTGTGTCTCTCTCTTGCTGCCTGCCAATCCAGATGTAGAACTCTCAGCTACCTCTCCAGCACCATGTCTGCCTGCATGTCACCATGCTTCCTGCCATGACAATAATGGACTAAACCTCTAAACCTGTAAGCTAGCCCCAATTAAATAGTTCCCTTATAAGAGTTGTCATAGTGTCTCTTCACAGTAGTAGAAACAAAAGCAGGAACTTTTGAAAAGTTTTAAAGAGCTTGCAAGGAAATCCACTGCTTTTGTTGTTGTTGTTGTTTGTTTGTTTGTTTGCTGTTTCTTGTTTTTTCAAGACAGGGTTTCTTGTGTAACAGCCCTAGCTGTCCTGGAACTCGCTCTGTAGACCAGGCTGGCCTTAAACTCACACAGCTCCGCCTGCCTCTGCCTCCCAAGTGCTGGGATTAAGGGCGTGTACCACCACTGCCCGGGTACAGGAAATCCACTGTTGTAAGTGGATTTCATATGAGAAGAAACACAGCAAGATAAAGCCCTTCTCTGTGCTGAGATTCATCTTCCACTCGGAGGGTCTGCTTTTCCAATGCTTCGCGTGCACACAGTGCTAACCCCACAGTGCTCACCGCTGCTACAACCTGCTGCGTGCGTGCGTGGTAAGCAGCTGCGTGCGTGGTAAGCAGCTGCGTGCGTGGTAAGCAGCTGCGTGCGTGGTAAGCAGCTGCGTGCGTGGTAAGCAGCTGCGTGCGTGGTAAGCAGCCTACTTTACTTGACGCAGCCGACCACCTTTCAGCTCGCCCTTCTTGGTTCCCACCTTGCCATTATGAAGCCTTGCTAAGCAGATGTGACCTTCACAAATTGCTGGAGCTCCAAACACAGGACAGTGAGAAAGGGGCGCCTACTACTCTGGTCTAATTCCAGCTTCCGAAGTGTGGGCACGTCCCTTCCCTTGATGATTAACATCAAGAATGTCCATGTCACCCCTACCAATAGGTCAGTAGTCTGACCCTGGGATCTCAGAAGAAAAGTCTTACCAGACGACAGCAGAGGCGGCTATGTGCATCACTCAGGAGTATATCAAGTGCTAAACATGCAGGAACACTGGTGTACACCCAGAACCATATACTCAAATCAACACACCAAGGGCTGGATCCGTGACAGAGCTAGAAGTTAAAAATAGTTCTTTTCCGGCTGGAGATGTCCCAGAGCTGGTAGAATGCCTACCTAGCATGGACAAAGCTCTGAATTCCATCCCTAACATCCTATAAAGCAGGTATGGTAGTGTATGGGCACTAGGAAAGTAGAGGGAGGGGGATCAGGAGTCCAAAGTCAGCCTTGAAATTGAAGGCCAGCCAGGGCTATAAGAGACCCTGTCAAGATTCGTTATTAAGCTATGTGAAATGCTTTGCATACACTATGCCTTTTCATCTTTATGAGGTTGTTCACACTCCTGCTTTACAGGTGAAAGATATCTTTATATAAATGGTATGCTTGTGATATTGTAGGTAGTTAGGTGTCTAGTCTAGATTACAGCTCATCTGGGCTCTGTTTCTCTTTTATAACTGTACCATTGGGAGGTCCTACTTAGTAGCCAGAATACTTAGAGAAAAATGTTAAAGGAAAAGAAAGATTCTCTACAGAATTAGTCACCTCTCCTTGTGGGTTTTTTTTTTTTTTCTTTCTTTTTTTAAATGTGCTTCAAAACATG